ACACCAAAAATATATAAGAGAGATAATAAATATTTTATAGGAAAAAGTGTAAATATGAAAAATATTTTACAAATAAGTGTATAAATATAAAAAAATACTCGTATTTATTATGAAGAAAAATAATTAATTCTTTGTTGTAATTTTAGTTGAATAAAAAAAGAAAAGAAAAAGTGTATCAATAAGGACTAAGAGAGAAAGAAAAAGTAATTAATTTATTTGAAAGGATGAACATTCGATCACAAATTGTAACAAAACATTCCACTGATTCCAGGGTTCTTAAATTTAAAAACTTAGTTAGATACTTAATTGGTAGCTTTTAATGATGAAAAAGTCAAAAGTAAAATAAAAAACATAAAAAGAAACGTGAGTGGGGGTTGTCAAGTACTCAAGTTTGAGTGCGACTGGAGAATGCTTGTTACCGTGTTACGTAGAAATGTTTGTCGGTTCGGTTTCATGAGTGTTGGTTTTGGTCGATCTCATCGGTTTTGATTGTGGTCAGCTTCAATTTTAAGTCAGTTGGTTTTGGTTGCTTTTGGGTTTTAATTGGTCGGTTTTAACGACCTTTAGAACAAGTAAATTATAAAATTGGTGATCGGTCCGATTATTGATTTGTGTCATGATCAATATTGAATTGATAAAGTAAGAATAAAGTAATAATGATTTAGAATCACACGAATATTATCAAATGTAGTACCCGGAGTATGTGACAATCTTAAAGAGATTGATGGAAAAAAAAGATGACACAATCTTAGAGGCCATATGGTAATATCCAAATTGGCTGTATTGAGTGATCCTGTGGAAATTTATGAAGTTCTGGTTGAACTAGCTGGATTCCTGATTCTGCTGATTCATGAAAAATTATATGTAAAATATATTACGAATAAAATGATAATTTACTATCATTTATTTATGAATTCATGTTAGCCATATTAGCTGAAGTATTTTATTTCAGCTAAAATTATACTTCGTATTTTATTCGCAGAATATTAGCTGTATATTCTACGAAATAGGTTTAGTCTATTAGCATAATATTTTTCTTTATTTTATTAATGATAGTCTATCATTTTATTTCAGCTAATAAATTATACGATAGTACTTCATTAAAATGAAGAAAAAAGTATACTACAAAAAGCAGTTAAAATGATCCTCTACAATAACTTCAGTTAATTCATAAGAAACGTAACATCAATCTTACTTTTTTTATTATTTCACAACTCGGCGCCGAGCAAAACTAAAATTTTCTGATAAACTTGAAAAGCTAAAAAACAGGGTCAATGGTGTGACGTAACCTATTCCGTATGTAACATGTCATTCGCCAGCACGGATCAAACATCTCTTCATCTTATATATATTCTCTCAGTTTCACCTACTTCATATCATCATCTTAATAATTACCGGCGGCCAGTTAAATAAAGCTACGAGTTTCGTTTTTATACTCGATCTTCATCAACTTAAACCTAATACGGAGTATGAATATTTGGATCAAAATGGCTGTGGCTATCCTTCTGCCTCCCGTTGCTTTCTGTGTGGTTGACGAACTTAAAGGAAATTGGGTACGAATTGAAGTACTACTTACTGGCTTACTGCTACCTCTTATTTAGTTTTTTTAGTTTTCCTTTCGTTTTGAATTGTGGCTTTACGATGAATGCAGTGTGCTTTACTTCTATGCATTACCTTGACTATCATTGGATGGCTCCCAGGAAGTATCTATGCTGCTGTTTGGGTCCATGAAAATCATCATGATCCTTGATAGAAAAAACACAACACTCTTAGCTATCGGCTGGGTAATTCATTATCTATTGTTTATTGGGCCTGTTTGGCAATATAATTAGTGTTTGCCAGATAGCAAATTATGTTAGCGAATTGTGTTAAGGAATCATTGATACTGGATTTAATTAGTGGATTTGACTGACTGATTGAGTCAGCGTATTGCAAAAACACGTTTGATAATTTAGTCGTTTAATCATAATGATTAATAGTATAAATATTTATGACCTTGCAAATCACATACGTAGTCGAACTAAGAAGTATATGGTAAATTGGTAAGAAACAAAACATCATCTACGAGCTACGGGTATGAAATTAGTTTCTCACCTTGGTGGCTGGCCTCCGAAATCCATATTTTAATAGCAGATTTTTCTCTTTCGCGAAAATTTTCTATTATCCTTGTATATATACAAATATACAATAGATAGGTGATTTACAGCTCCATTAATATAATGGTGGTTTCATGATAGTAAGTGTTTCACTGCACATGTACAGAAGATAACTAGTCTTTGTCTTTTGATTAATGAAATCGCCATTCTCAAACGTTGTTCCCAGGGTTTTAAATTGCAGTTACAGTAAAAGTTGTGGTCATTGCGGTTGTGGCTAATGCGTCCGCTGCGATGCGGTTGCGCCGCTGCCCGCAACCGCAATAGAGCGGTTGCGGTCGCCGGTCCACTATTCTGCTTTTAAAAATACTATTCTGCTTTAAAGTTTTGTTTACTTGTGACTAATTTGTTAAGAATACCAAGAATGTTAATCAAGAATACCAAAAGGAAATAAGTTTACTTATAATAATACTATTCTGCTTTAAATTATTAAAGTTTAATTATTTTCGCAATTCTGCTGGTATGTAATTCCTGATTCTCTAGCTAAGCTTCCTTGTCTTCTTGTGAACAATGATTGTAACAACCTCCATTTGACAACAAAACCATCCCCAATAATTGGTTCCCCTAATTCTTTGTGACATTTATAAGTATTCAATTTCATTTTTTAGAAGGTTGTTAATACATACGGAGTATTTTAAAAATGTGAATAATTGGTTTTATACTATTTTAACTCTGAAATTAGACTGAAAAAATTAATAAGTGATAAATTTAAATGTTTATAGTAGATTTATGCAACTGACAATAAAAACTTTTCTATGTAGAGTTGGTCTGGAATTAGAGATAGACTAAAACAACGAAAATATTTTGTTGCAAAGTAAAACAAAGTATGTCATATTTGCAAGGAATAAAATCATATTTAAACCTTAATTTTAACAAGATGCAACTATATTTTCAATTATTATTATATAATAATACGGAGTATATAGCTAGGCTAGAGACTGGAATACGATATGTGAGTAGTACTTAACTGTAAACGCCATCCAACATAGATCCATAAATATAGTTTTAGAGAAGTTAAGGTAGGCATCTAATTCAGTTCTTCCTTTCGGTGCTTTGGCAGGTTTTTAAAGCGGAGTTCTCTAATTATTTGCTACAAGCCTACAACGGAGTATTACCACACAATTAACTACATGTAGTTCGTCATATTATTATGTATTTCTGTAGTTGAATTGTTATTCTTGTTTGTTTCCCAAAAGTTCCTCATTCTATTCTTTCTTCTTCTACTTTTTTACCTTTTTTCTTTTAGTTTTTAATTTATTCCTCACAATTACTAAGGTTGGTCAAAGAGTACTTGATTGCCAACGGGTCTATCTTCTTGTGTAACATTGTACTTCTTCCGATCCTAAATTAACTTCCTTCTTTGAACTTTGAGATAAAATTAGAGGATGTATGATCATAATTGAAACAGGTCCATGGGATACATCTTGTTGCGTTCGGTGTGCTCGACGTACATCTTGTTTGGGAACTTGAAGAAGAAACCTTTAGCGGAGTTGGTCAAACCGCTGCCTCCATGCCAGTGGTTGAAAAAATTGGATTATGTTCTTTTTATGTGTTTTTGTCGTCTCGGGACTCTTGTGTTTTTTGTTTTTCCTTTTAGTAGCAAGTGCAACATGTAGTTCTCGGTTTTAATAATAACTAAGTTATCTTTTGTGAATGGAGTCTAACGAATCACGGGGTTAGCGAGTTGGTCCGCTATTAAGCGTGATCCCAGCTCTAAGTCTCATCCCAGTGTAGCCTTTGTTATGATGAACTTGTATCTGGTTCTCGGTTTTTAATAATAACTAAGTTATCTTCTGCCAAAAAAATATTTTCAATAAGCTAGGATGAATCTAACCATTTGTTATGCTCATTTGAGTAATTGTGTAACACTCTGAACCCACAGGTTCTCAGGTAATACTCGTTTAAATATTTTGCATTTGAGTAGTTATGGAGTAAATTACTATTATATGATGATAATAACTAGTATTTACACATAGACATTGATTTCATCTAAGCAAAATACAGTCATGTGAATCTCAAGTTAGACAGATCTACCTGATCGTTTCATTCACCCGTTGGGTCTAGGTCTGTAACACTTATTATAGGCCCATTAACGAATGTGTCCGGCTGGGTCTGGAACATAAGATATATTAACGGGTCCAGGTTTGGAACACTGTATTCCGGCTCAAACCTGGCCTATAACTATTAACGTACAGTCCTACTATACATATGTGGCGTAAAAGATTTAATGATGTATTGACGACCCGTTTATGAAAAGAAAAGTACAATTAACCACATAATTACGGTTATATTTGTTAGTGTCGCAAATAATATTATAAACAAAATCACTTTATCGACGACTCCGTGAAGAATGCATACGAAAGTGATCAGATTGATCATAGTGAATATGTTACTTTGCTACTAATAATGAAACAAATATTTTTCCATATGATATATCCACGGTGTAAGGAATTGAAGTAAATGCGATAGATTTGTGACTATTCAAATTTCATAATTAAAGATCAAGTGTGCATGCTTATTTTGAGTATTGAAAACAACTTTAATTTAAAATATACTATGTAATTAATCATGGGTGGTAAATTTTGTCTTTTAAGAACATACATTGTCGTGTTAGAGAAACTGCATATGTATAAATCAACCCCAGCCCTATATATAGCGTATTCAAACATCTTAAATTATATATTTTCTGATAATAATAATCTTAGCTGCGGAATACATTTCATCTCCTCTATCAACCTACTTGATTACATTATTATTACCAAATTAAACAAGCTAAGTTCTTTTTATAATCTTCAAACCTAAAATGAGTTATTGTGGAGAAATCGTCCGTGCCATCATACTGCCACCCTGGGCTATTCATAGGCTCAAGTGTGAGGACAAGGTACGTACGTGTAGTAGATAGCTCTTATGATTTTCCACAGTTGAGTTTTGCTCTTTGTACACACATTAGTACACACATCTATACCCACTATATATACCTAAAAAAATTACCCCTTTCCCATTCTTTTCTTTCTTTTACCCCTTCTCTCTCTTCACCCTTACTTCTTTTCTTTCTTCTGCGACCTCTCTCCCTGATTTCCTTCGTGCCTTCTCTATATTCTTCTTCTTCTTTTGTTTCTTCTTGCACCAACACAAACAAAGTGACAATGGATTTTCGTAGCTCAAACCAGAAGCTCCCATCAACCACCCATAATATTGAGGTAATGATTTAATTCGATTTTTCTTTGTGCATTTTAGGGTTACTTTTAATTAAAATTTCCAGTTTTTTGTATATCATGTATTTTACAAGGCTTATTAGTTGAATAATATGTATTGTTGTTAGAGAATGTAGTGTTAGTTATTGAAGTTTTAATTCAATTACTCTATTTCACATTTATGCTTATAACATGTTTGTTGAAATGACTGAATGAATATTTTTGTTAAAATTCAAGACTTTTACTTTCCTTTTTTGCTAATTAGTTCAAGATTCTAACTTTCTTGTTTCCCAACTTAAATAATGTTATACGTAGTATGTTTTTATTGACTAATTTATTTGATTAGCATGCCTTTGCTATTTTAAGTAAATTATGTGGAGTATATGTTATGCTGAATTTTTGACTACTTTCTTACATTGATATAGGTTTGTTCAGACCCTAGTTTGTTCAATAACTCTGTTTTTATGTTTTTAAGTGTTTTAAGTTGGTTTATGAATTATTTTGTAAGGTTGGTTTTTAGGTTTACTAGTTTTTGCTTGAAGCACTTTTTTACTGCTCATTTATAAATGAATATAGTTTTACAGTGATGAGGAGCATGGTGATTGAATCAAATGTCTTTATGAAATAGACGCTCAATCATGTTTGATGAGTGACTGCCATTAATATATTATTGCATTTTTATACTTTGCTAGTAATTATGAACTCTTGAAGCCTAGTTGTGGTCTTTGGATATGGTTCTTACACTATATGACAGCTTAGTGTATGTTATTCAGAGCGAAATACTAATATGTGATTTATTGTTTCCATACTCAGAATGCTATTTCACTTCTTCCGGAGGCTTAAAGAGCTATGTGCACCCCTAAATGAGCTGAAAGTTGTGCCGCAGGTGGATAGGTCGGGTGAGATGTATTGCGGCACCTTCAAAGTTGACTCAGAGTCCTAGAAAGAGAGTACCATCATTTTTAGAGTTGGGAGTACTAGTGCATCCCTCGAAATTCTCCTTTCGTTTCTCCATTTCTCGAATTGTCCTAAACTTAAACTGAGTTTTATGTTGAATTGTAGCAAGACGCTTCATGTGAAAGCCATTTCCGATCTTTAATACTTGTATATACTTGAAAGTTTGTTTCCATCAATATGTATTTGGTAATTATATTTGAAATGTTCATATAAGTTGCTTGGGCATGATTATGATTCATTTTAGTTATATCTAAAATGTCCATATGTGGTAATTATCTTATGTCTTCATTTATATTATCTCTGCGTGATTAAAAAAATTATTTGTGTGTTTATTTATTTTGTCTGTGTGTAGACAATCATTGTTTGTGTGGTTTTATTTTGTTTGTCAATAGTCGAAATATCGCATGTCTTCATTTATATTGTCTATGTGTGGTTAAATTATTTTTTATATGTTCATTTATTTTGTATGTAGAATAAATGAACGGTTAACGGTTCCACCCCTCAAAAAGATCACATTTACAACATTTTGGACAATTAAGGGGTGATATTTACAATCTCAGAAATACAGGTCTGAGATTTTAATTTCGTGAATGACTGAGAGACCATATATGCGATTTTTCCATGAACTTAAAAATGTACTAAAAGCATAATTTCAATTCCTTGGACAAAATCGAAAGTCATTATCTGAATACACAAGATACACTATGAAAATACAAATAATTCAAGTCTAATTAAAGTCAAAATAAAAGTGAAATACAAACACTGAATAGACACTCCAATAAACACAAACAATTATATTATATGCTACACAGACAAAATAAACGAACACAAAATCAATGTTTTAGTCATGCATAAACAATATAAACGAAAACACGGACAATAATTTTTCTACACATGCAAAATAAAAACATACACATACAATATTTTAACCACACACAAACAATTACTTTACACGAACAAAATAAAAGAACAAAATGACAATTCTTAAATCACAAGTACACATTGTCATGTGGACATTTCAGATAAAATTATTAAATACATATTCATCAATAAGATAACATATTGAATACATACATATTCTCTTTTCTGCTTATAGGTAAATATCAATTGTCAATCGCTCAATGAATCAAAATAAGAGTTGTTCTCTTTAAATCACGACCAAGCTGGTGCTGGTGGTACCGAGAGCAATGACTGAACTTCAATGGTCATGCAAATGTATAAATTATGTTGCGTCAAGGCCTGGTCCAACCCATTACTTGTGTCCCATACCTCATAGCACTTGAGACAGATCCAAAAGAACAAAATTCAAAGCTGGAACATCATTTATTGATAAACGAACAATATACACAAAAGTCTTCCAGAATCTTGATCAAACAGCAAAAAAATTAACCGGGCGGACTTGCAGTGTGTTCAGATCCTTCCTAAAAATTAAACCAATGTTAACCTCATTCCAAACATATCTGGTAACCTATTTGATTCAAAGTATAGTTGGCTTCAATAATTCATTTAACATATTTACATGGATTCACCCATGTATAATAAACTACAAAATAAACTACCATAAACATAATAATCAAATAAACCAATAAATAAAAATAATTATGTCATTATTTTAATTGGGAAAGAAGTACATTAGAATGTTGAACTAATTAATAGAAAATTTTAGTGAAAGTCTTGGATTTAAACAAAAAACCATTGAGTCATTTTAACAAACATGTTATGAGCATAAGTGAGAAGTGGAGTGATTGAACTAACATTTCAAGAACAAAGACTACATTCTCTTACCATAGTACAAAATACTCAACTATTCAATGCTATATCATACTATCGTACATAATATACAAAAAAAGCTTGAAATTTAAATAAATGTAACCCTAAAATGCACATAAAAAAATCGAATTAGATTATCACCTTAATATTACAGGTTGTTGTTCGTAGCTTCTTTTTTGAGCTGCCAAAACCCACTGTCCCATCCTCGTCGATCGGCTGCACAGATTCCAGCTGCAACCACGCCACCGTTCTTGAACTCGGACTTAAGGATGATCGATTAAAGGGCTGCAAGGAAAAATGGATATTAGAGAGGCGATGATGGCTGAAACGGTCGACTGTTTGTGTTGGTGCAAGAAGAAACAAAATAAGAAGAATGAAGAAAGGGGAATTAAAATAAAAAGAAGAAACGGAGAAGATCAGGGAGAGAGGTCGCAGAAGAAAGAAAAGAAGTAAGGGTGAAGAGAGAGAAGGGGTAAAAGAAAGAAAAGAATGGGAAAGGGGTAATTTTTTTAGGTATATATAGTGGGTATAGATGTGTGTACTAATGTGTGTACAAAGAGCAAAACTCTCCACAGTTTCCCGACCCTTCTTTCAATTTGCCCTTTTTTAGGATGTTTGAATCTAAATCAAATTAAATGAGACTTAAGCATACTCCGTATTAGATAAGATCAAATCAGATTTAAATAGTGTAGACCAGACTTTGACTATTGTAAAATAGACAAAGACCAGATATCTATTAGACCAAACCAGTTCAAACTGAACCGGAATAGAGTTAAAACATACCAACCAGAAAATTTCAGTCCATCGTAAAATTAAAAAAAAAAACAATCTTAGTAGAATAATGGAAAAAGGGAAAAAATAATATATATATATATATATCCCAAACTTTGAAGATGTGTAATATAAGTACCTCAAACTTGCACATATAATATATATATTCCAATTCAAACTATATATAAAAAGTTATGTTAGCATTGCATCATGAACATATATTTTTTCATAAATGTAATTTTATGGTGTTTGGTACATAATTTTTAATACACAAAACATTTATGAGGATGTAATTAGAATTAAATTTTACCAGATGTATACTATTTATTTAAAAGAGAAAATTATAGAATGTTAATTGTATTCTAACAAGATTTAAGGTATTTTAAATTATATACTTATTCCAATAAATTTGTATTTGTAACAAACATATAATCATGATGCGAAAATAACTTTTTACATGAAGTTTGGGATATATATATTAGATACGCAAGTTTGGGATACACAACTCACACCCAGTTTGGGATATTTGAATTATTTTCGCCTAAAAAATACTACGGAGTAGTATAATATTTGCAGCTTGAGGCCGGTATGTAGGGTTTCATTTGTCTCAAATAATTAGTTATGGCGCGCATGCTTAAAGAAATCTCAGTCAATCATTTTGTCCTTACTAATTTGTGGGTTTAAATATCATCGATAAATCCTGCAGGCTCCGTTTTGGTTTTGCATTGTCCTTACTGCTTGTGGGTGGATCCCTGGATGTATCTATGCCGTTTATTGGGTCCATAAAAATCAGGTGATCTTGAATAGCATATGAAATCAAAGATGTTGGGTGAGTCTTAAGTTCTCAATCAGTATATATCAACTAGTCTCTCTTTTTCTTAACTTAAAACATCTCATCTTATACTCTCTAACATATATAATTAAGATCTGTTAAAAAACATATATAATTAAGATCAGTCAAATGCACATAAAGATGTTTTTACTTGGACTGCAATTTAATGGTCTAGTCTGATCTGACAAAAATATGATCTCAATTTAGTACTTTATTAGTTCATATTTGACCGGTGTAAGAAATTTTTCAACAAAATGTCAAAAAACACAACAAATAAAAATAGATGAATTTACATTATTAATTGATCTGAATGGCACACCTTCAAATCCTTCAATAACACAGACCACTCAAATTATGTAAATTAATACGGAGTATTATACATTGTTTTACATGCAAACATGCACATACATAAATATATATACTCCGTATAATAAAGCATTGATGGTATGAATATTTATTTTTCTTCTATATTTTCTTGATATGGGGCGATTGGGCGAATAGAGTATAATATTGTCAACTTTAATTCATCAACGCAACATCGATAGATTCATAGATCTAATTCTCTAGTTCTTTTTTTACATGCTTTGACAGGTGAAGATATGAAGGTGGTATGCAGTCTTCTCATTATTTACTAAAGTTGTCATCCTAAAGTTGTCAGCTTCTGCAATGTTCTATTTGGATTATTAATGTAATTACTAGGTTTTTACAAACGATTGCTAGAGTAATAAATTTAATAATAGTAGAACTCTTTGTTTTGGAACTGTGGAAACTTCATAATGATTAGGAGTAAAAAATGCTCGAAATGAAATATATGATCCCTTTTATTTTATTCTATAAACAAGATTAAGAGGATGTTTTAAGTGATTCTGCTTCTGCTTCTTTTTTAAAAGCAGAATCAGAATCAAAATCAGTTTTTAGAAGTCAGTCTCCCCCTAGCTTCTAAAAAAATGATTCTAGGAATAAATTAGAGCACTGAAATCACTTCTGTACTTTCACCCAAGCACTCCAACTTCTGTTTCTGCTCCTTGAAAGAGTAGAAGCAATTTTAAGAATCAGATCCAAACATCACCTAAAAAGAGTTAGAATTGATAAAATATTACCATTCATTCGTATTCCAATTCAAAAATATAATATATAGTCGAATTAACTTTCATTGTACCAACAACTAAAGGGAATAAATGAATAAATGATGTCTTAACTATTGGCATAGATGGACCCACCTTATGTCTTATAGGGTCCCGAGAACCCATGAACGTTCAAGAAAACCCTATATATTATACACAGAAATGTTCCTGTCATCCTGGCCGAGTCCTCTGACCGCCTCCATTTTAGATGCTTCTTGGTGGATTTTTGATAATGTTTTGTGATCATATTTTTCATCAAATGTAGATTATGTCCATTTAATTTCACCTTAAATTAAAATTCAATTCGTTAGTCAGTTAAATAAATTATTAAAACCATTGTGCCTATATACACAAACACACACACATAATTGATTTTTAAACTATCATCATCATATCACTTTGGTCCCCAAACTAATAAATTTATTATTTGAATCTTTATTCTATGCAGTTTGTATAGATCCCCTCGACCCCTCCTTCTGTCATATTTTTGCCATTAACTTGAAGATCAATATTTAATATATTGTCTTATAAACATGTGTAGCAGTAGGGGTGCAAATGAGCCGAACCGCTCGTGAGCCGCTCGTGAGCCGCTCGGTCAAAGCTCGGATCGAGATCGGTCAAACTCGAGCTCGAGCCGAGCTCGAGCCGGCTCGTTAAGCAGTCGAGCCATAAACGAGCCTACTGATTTTAGGCTCGCTAGCTCACGAGCCGGCTCGCG